CCAAAAAGCAATTGTTAAAGAAGGGACTGTTTGTAAAGGAGTGGGTTAAGTTCAAAGGACCAGTAAAAGATGATGGAGGGTCTAAGACTAGCAATAGTGGAATGAACAATACTGGGGCACCATCTCCAACTTTAGGATTAAAAGGTACAATGCTAGTGGAGGAATTATCAGAACCAGATAAAAACTGTAGCTGTAAGAGAATGCCTACACAGGAGCTGTTGCCTTTGAAGAAGAAATACTGCGCTGCCCCCCTAGGGGTGTGTGTGAGGGTAGGAGCTGCAAGTGTAATTAGCCTGTTCTCTGCCTCTTTCTGTCCTCCTGTTTCCCACTAATGCATCCTATTAAGCAAACCCAACTGGAAGCCAGAGACAAGGAGGCCTTGACAAGAAATCTACAGAGATCAGACTTCTGAGGCACAAATCAATGGAAAGGGTAAAAACATTTGGTGGCACAAAGAAAAAATAGTGGCATATAGGCTCATCTTGGTATTTCTCTTGCTTTATAGGTTTTGATTGTGTCAGCAATTTATTGTGATAAGGAGTAATTGGCCTTCAATGTTTTATGCAATTACATATGTAATTATTCACTACCAAGCCATGTAGGGCACTATGTCTCCTTTCTTATACTATTTCCTATCCATGTGTCTTTCCAGAAATTAATAATTGCTTTATATTTTCATGTGTTTATATGTATTTTTCATTAATTTTTCTAAATCTTCCAAATTATTCTGCATATAACCACACATATCAGATCATTCAGTTCTATTTTTCCTTGGAACCTTCTTTTCTAGGTCCAATCTTGGCTGCTTTTTAGGCTCTAATGCCAGTTATGCACCTAGAATCTTTATTTTAGTATCTCTCCTTTTGATGAATTCCATGGGTTCTCCTATGATTTTCTCTTTTAGTAGAATATACTTTCCACAAGTTTCGTGAAAAAAGGCCCAAGAGCAGTAAAAATTTGAGCCCTTATTTGTCTGGTGATATCTTTATTCTACTTTTGGTCATTCAATTGATAATATATCTGAGGTAGAGTTCTGGGTTGAAAATTGTTTTTCTTCAAAATTTTGAAGGCATTGCTCCTGAGCCTTTGAGCTTCTAGTTACTGTCCAGGCTCTGCATGTTATAAATTTGTACCTTTGTATGTGACCTCTCTTTCCTTTCTAGATGCTTGTATTGGCCATAATATTCTCTTAATTTTTGGTGTTCTGAAATTTCCATGATAAAATCTTATACCATGTTTATTTTGTTTGGCTCACACTCTTTCAATCTTTAGTTTTGTCTTCAGTTCAGCAAAATTCTAGTATAGTGTATTTTTGGTAATTTCTTTCCTTCCATTTTTTTTCTTTTACAAACTTGTTGTTTGGATGGTGGTCCTTCTAGGCTCTGCTGCTAAGTTTCACTTCTTACCCCCTCCCACAGCCTCCTCCATAGTATTTAGTTTGTGAATGATTTACATTGTTATCTTCAAAGTTGGAAATGCCATTCTTTGTTTATGGATAAAAATATGATTTCATGTCGAATATGTGTCTACAGTTGGACATTAGGCTCCTTCATAATCATCCTTCTTCCCCTGCACAAAAGAAAGGTATAATTCTCATGGATCCTAACTCTCACTATGGTGTATTTCCCAGAGAGTTAAGCCTTTAGAGATGCCAAACGAGAGGAATCTACAAATAATTTTACATATGAAACCTATCTAATTAACATGGTGTAAGACATTGTATGTTTTGGCCCAAGTACACAGAATGTTGTAGAATTGGATAGTGACTACTTGTGTTTAGCAGACTTTACTGTGTAATTTTCAAATTATTACTCTGGTGGGAAAAACCTGTAAAAATGAAGAAAGCATCTGTAAGAAATACAGGAGACAGACTTCTGGCAGGTATCATGTATCATTTATGTTTACTTATAGAAGAACGAGAATTCAGACACGAGATAGTTATTATAGAAATGAATGTTAACATACTTACTGGAATTGTAAAATTAAGTCAGAAAGCGAGTCTGATTTAGAAAAGTAGCTTGATCATGAGAACTGAGTCTACCCACTAGGTTATGACAGACATTTTTCATGAATTAAACAATCTAAATCTAAAAAGCTAAATCTGAGCTCTGATGGTTTTAAAAAAATAAAGCATGTGATTAAATGAATTTTATTATTCATGCATGAAAATGCATAAAAGTAATAATATTTAAATTCTCCCAACCCATTCTGAGTATACCAGGTAAAGGAAGCTTCCTCTATGTGAAACATTTGATGGTATAATTCTTTTGTTCAATCTTAGTAAAGCCTTTAGGTGTAATGCCCCCAGGAGAGGAGAGAGTGTTATTGTAACAACTGGATAACAAATCTTTTTGTGTTGTCAGTTTTTTTATTCAACAAATTTAAAGAAGAGCTAACTTGAGTTATTAGCTGATAGACTGTTGAAGATGATGATTATGATAATGATTGCTGCTGTTTTTCTGCTGGAGATACAGGGTACCGGGGATTGAACCCAGGGTCTTGTACATATTGGGAAGCACCCCATTATTGAGTTACATCTGTAGCCCTGAAAATTATTTTTGATTGTTAGTCTTTATTATTGTTTTTGGCTTTAACTTAGAAATGGATCATGGTATTAAGTGGCATTCTTTTCATTCTTATCTATTAGTGAAAACAAGATTTTCAATATTTATGTTTATAATAATAGTAAGTAATAACTTGTCATGAGCACTTTAGTAATAAGAACCAGCCATCTATTTATAGATGAATTAATTGAAACATAAATAAGCCCATACTCTCATTGAAATGTTTCTAAAATAATACCATTAATTTTGATATTAATTTTATTAAGATTCATAGTACAACTTTTTCATCAGTTATATACTAATAGTAATCATAAATGCTAACTCAATCCAGAAAAAATATAGTTAAACTTTTGACCTATGTAAACACAAGAAATTTTAAAATTTTAAATTTAAATTATGGATATTTTTGTTGTAAGTATGTATAATAACATTTTCAAAAATATTTTAAAGCACATATTTTCATTAGTTTAGGATAAAATTCTTTAGGGGAAATGAAATAAAGATATAGAATTTAAGAAGAGTAAAATTTCCAACTGTTAAAGTAAAATTTACATGTGTTCATATAGAGATGAAAGCTTTTATATGCGTAAAAAAGTTTATATAAGAAAAGCTTATGTATAAAAGAAATATATCTTGTTTATTTTCAGTGACTGATGGTAACACATTACTGAATTATGTAAATTAATTAAATTTAGTACAAAAATAAAGCACAGTAATTTTTTTCCCCAGCACCAGGGATTTAACTCAGGACCTTGTGCTAGTAAGGCAAGCATGGTGCCTCTCAACTAAATCCTCAGCCCTGTAGTACTTTTTAAATGTCAATATACACTATATTCTGAAAAATTACACTCTTTTCAGTTGTTTAAATACATAGTAAAGTTTCAGACATCAACTCAATAATTTGACAGCCATTGTTTTATAGTGCTTTTTATTTTCTTTACTATTTAACTATTTTTTATTTTAAAAATTTAATTTTATTGGTACATTTTAGGTATACAATATGCTGATATATATTATTGGGAATTTGTATCTTTACATAATATATTATGGTTCTTAGTTTTCCCCCATTTCCCTGCCCTCCCTTAAATCCCTCCACCCCTCCCTATTTACAAAGACTTTGTTTCCATTTTTTCCTTTTCTCATATTTATTCCTTTCCCTTCTAAAATCTTATTCCTTTTAAAAGAAGACAGGTGATGGAGAGGAGGGGTTATAATCTTTAACAAAGATTATAGGAGATCAATTTAAAATTTATTGAATTATTTTATACTTTTCAGTTACTTTTACTTATCTTTCAAATTTTAACCAAAAAAATCACCAAATGCAAATAAATAGTTCGCATTTTATCCCCAAAGAAGGATAAGGAAAATACGATGAGACAAGAAAAAAAACCAAGCACTGTACACACAATAAACCAATATTAATTTTTTAATAATGTAGCCATTTTTATATAAAATACAGCAAGGTTAATTACTCAGAAATATACTATTGTCATAAAACACCAGTGTATATGTACCTTTAACTAAAACCAGTGTTTTCATGATAATTCTTTTGAATACATACCAAATTAGATAGCAGTGAAAACCCTAATAGAGTGCTCAGAGTAGTTGGCAATAAATGTTTTCTCCTCCAGTTTACTAATGTAGAACTGTAATTTAAAAATATATATTTTATAGTTTATGCAGCATCTCTGCCTAGAACACTATAAGCACAGATATTACCTAAAACTGTTTTATTTGATACATATGCAATAGTTAAGCTAGCAATAAGAAGGAATTTATGCATACATATTAGTTTACATGTTTATAACATGTTTGCAGTTTCTGAGAATTATCAAAAAGTTTGGTCTCTTCCTGTAATCCTGTTAATTTATATATGGACACAGCATTTTATTTTGTATTTAACATTATCCAAAAAAATTATATACAGATCCCTGAAAAATAACATAACCTAGGCAAAAGCAAAATTTAAAGTATAAAAAGTCTTAAAGCCTTTCTTGGAAATATCAAATTTGGGTTTTGGAATTAGATAGATTAATATCTACCCCTGATTCTTAACCATTCCCTTGTTTTGAGACTTATTTTGAAGTAAAATATTATCTTGAATTTATAATAACTTTTATTTAAAGGAAGCTTGCAATTAACTTACATATGATAAGCTTTTATCCTAACAATATTTCTGGGAGTATTAATTCTAGGTAACATTTACTGAGCATTTCCTTTATACCAGGCACTATGCTTAATACTCTATGCTTAGTCTTCAAGACAGTTGTCTGAGGTAGGTAATATTGTGCTGATTTTCCATGAACCTGGTTCATGAAAGGTCATAAGACCCAGATGGGATGGTTTTCCTGAACTCATCATTGCACTGTGAGCTCCTTGAAGTGTGTGTGTGTGTGTGTGTGTGTGTGTGTGTGTGTTTGTGTGTGTGTATTAACGTTTTACTGGTATCTCAGAGCACAGTGGTAGAGGAAAGTGGGAAGTAAAATTTAAAAATACCCTTTGCTGGAAGTCAAGACAGTGGGCAACAGCCAGATGCAGCAGGTGAGTGGCCAGACCAAGAAGTCTAATCATACTCTGAACTTGCTAAAAGAAAAATCACATTGGTTTTAGAGTATGAAAATACTTTCACAAAAAAATCATACTTAGATATTAAGTGTTCAAGTTCATATCTAACTTTTCTAAGTTCATATCTAAATGGTGCTATTTTTATTTACTATAAAATATACTGTTGAACACCTAGGGGTTTTTATTTTGTTAAACTAGTTCTTTGGTCCTTATATAAGCTTTATTGTCTTCTCGTTTATCCTCAGTATTTATTTTTATTTTCAACATAAAAAAAGCTGTTGGTTTGAGTGGTTTCTATAACCGTGGACTGAAACATTTTTAATTTCATCTGTACTGAACATGTACAGATATTTTGTTGTCATTATTCCCTAAACAAAACAAAACAATGTGACAACTATTTTCACAGTGCATTTACATTGTCTTATAAGTAATCTAGAGATAATACCAAATATACAGGAGGATTTATGTAGGTTATATGTAAATACTACTCCTTTGAGAATTTTGGTATCTGCAGGGTTATTATGGGGTTCTGGAACCAATTTCTGATAAATATAAAGGATGACTCTTTTCCAGGAAAAAATCATGGAATGAAAATGAAAGGTACTTACATTATTACATGGAGGAAAAAAACTTCAGGCTCTGAATATCTGGCATTTGTGAGTCAGTCAAAATAACTAACTAGAACTTAAAAGTGGTCTTTGGGACACTTTTTTAAAAACCCTTACTACTATATTCTTTTAGTAAATGAGACCAAGAATAGTGATTTGAGATAAACTACATTCATCCCTTATAATGTGGCAAATTCCTTTATGATTGTAACTAACACTGGACTGACTTCTCAAAGGCCATTAGCATTGTGAAATAGGGAACAGGAGCCACCCAGGAACATTTTGCTACTCCTCCCCTCCTCAGTCTCTGTATTTCTGTCTAGCATTCACAGTCTAGCCCAAAGAGCTCTTGAAGTATTTATGCTCACTTTGTTTCCTGAAGTAGCAAGTGAAAATGGTTCTAAGTTGGCCCAAGGGAAAAAAATTAATCAAAGTGAAAAGAAATAATTCCATAATGTTTCTACTGCCAAACTGCATGTGAGCAACTTTAACCAAGAGAAAGAAGAAAATTTAAAAAGCAAGCATTCTTTGAGCTTTTCTTTAATTTTTAAAAAGTACTGTTAAAAAATGGTTTTCTTCAATGTATATTAAAGCAAACATAAAGAAGATTGATTCAGTGTTCCACTTTGTGGGGAAAGCAGTCTGAAGACAGCTTTAGTGCCCTGCTAAGCCTTTGATGTTCACCAGAACTATTCTTCCATATTTGTAAAGTTTACTCTAAGTTAAAGTCTATTTAATCATCTGTGTATTTTCAATTTGTGCATGTGTGTCAAGGTACTTAGAATTGTGCCTACTCTATTGGTGTCATACAATACCTGTTAGTAACAGCAATAGAATAGTTTGGATGGAAACTATGTCCAAGGGGATAATTATTATCTGTGTTAGGGAACATGGTATTTTCAGGAAAATCAAATAGGGATTTTGGTCAAGTGTGAAGTTGAATATTTATGGTTTCAGGAGCCCATACTTCAAAATTTTGAAGCCCTACCTCTTTGACGTGTTTTGAACCATGCTAATTCAGAAAATAGTTTTTTAAAGAAAGGCAATCCTTTGCTTCAAATGTCTCTAAATTAGATTGATCCAATATATTGAGGTTTGGGGCAATATACAAAAGACCTTACTAATGATTGAATGTATTTTGTAACACAGCTCAGGCAAACCAGGCTATGCTAAAGAGCAAAACAAAATATAACCTAAAGAGTGAGCAGCAATGATTTAACATGGTTTTGTAAAAGATATTAATACTGATAATCCAATCCAATCTTGGACATGTGGCCAGGTAAAACCTTCTAAGTGTTTAGTCTTGTAAAAACTGGTCATTAACCAAAAAAAGAATTCTTTTGTTTTTCTTCTGAGTATAGGAAAATTTTTGGTAGCTACCAAAAATAAATGTTTTTCTTCATTAACATATTTTGTCATATTCAGTAAACTGTTCTGCAAGAGAATACAGAAAAATAAAATGCTAAACAAAGTACAAATTCTAACAAACAAAACAGAAGCTGAGTAAGAGAAAGAGAAAAGTTAATTTTAATGTGAATCTTACTGCCACTAGCCTTATCTCCTTTAGTATGATATCTGTGGGTCAGCAAATTACAAATTAAGCATATTTAAATACATAAATATTAGTTGTATCTTAGGGTTTCCTGTCACCCATTTAATGAACCAATAATATACTAAAAGTTCTTCAAGGGGAACACTGTAATATAGAATAGGACTAAGAAGGTTAGAACATCCTTTAGGGTACCAGAACATGCTAGTTAGCCTTTTTATTTACTTAAGTATAAAGTCCAACCACCAAAAATAGAGTCTCTAAGTTAAAAAAATACTTTCCTTGGTAACATTTGTTGACATTTCTGATCAGAGCCAATACAACTCTTTAAAAAATAAAATAATACTTTGAAATATGTGTATAAACTTCTCAAAGAATCATTAAAAATATATAATTTCCTTCCTGTATGGTTCATATAGAAAACCAGGTTTTCTTTACACAGTCCCTGTAGCTCTAAGGAATTCCATTTCTACATGAGCTTTTGACCTTTGGGCTGAACCACTCTTTTTCCGGAATTCTGCAGCAATTTCCTCAAAAGACTTTCCCTTGGTTTCTGGAACTTTAAAAAATGTAAACAGAGTAAAGGCCAGGACCACTCCAGCAAAGAGGAAAAACACATAAGGTCCACAGAAATCCTGGAAAAAGCAAGCACAGAATTACAATTAGCAGCTATTTGACTTGTGTTCTGTTCAGTAAATTTACACAGTGTTGAGCCACTTACCGCAATGTACTGGAAACACAAAGCTATAATGAAATTGCAAGCCCAGTTGCTGAATGCAGCCAGAGCTAAAGCTGTTGGGCGTGGTCCTTGGCTGAAGAACTCAGCCACCATGAACCAAGGGATGGGGCCTGGTCCAATTTCAAAGAAACTGACAAAGAGAAAGATGGCTGACATGCTCACATAACTCATCCAAGCAAACTTATCCTAAAAAAAAAAGCAAAACAGGAATAAAAGTGAGGCCAGGATCATTGACTACTGTTCATTTAGTTAAGTAGCTTCTCACAGATTTCAGAGGTGGACATAGCTCTTCTACTAATACGTTTGTGTTCAATCAAGTGCCAGTTATTCCAGTCTTGGGACATGTTATTCTAGTCTGAATCATTCTTAAATCCTTTGAATTCCACTATAGGCAATCCTCTGGATTAAGACTTTATTTGATTCTTAGTCATTTTCTTCCTGTGAAAGTCAAGGCAAAGATCCAGTATCCTTTACTCTTGCATATACTAAGGTGGCTAGAGAAGGTGTCTGATTCCCTGTAAAGTGATGGATGAGGACTCTAGCCTGGTAGAAATTTCAGGTACCTTCCCAGGGTCACAAAGTCATCCAGGTGACAGAATCAGCATTAGAGCTCAGTTGGGACTGACCCCAGAGCCTATTCTCTAACCGTATTTCCTCTTTCCTGGACAACAAGCATAAGTAACATGCTGATATTCAGTCTTTAATGCCAAGAAACTAGTTCCTATTTTCTTTACCTTGGACCTTTGACCTATGTACTGTTCCTTTGGCTTTATTTCATAAGTAAGTTTCATGTTTTTGACCTATGAAGACCTTTAACTTGGAGCACAGAGATGTTGTCATGTGGTGACCAAAATTATCAGTTCAGGCACCAAACTCACCAGCAGAACAAGTCCCACTGACATGAAGATGGCACAGAAAAACATTCCACTCATTCCGATTAGAAACAGAGAGCGTCGTCCTGCCTTTTCCACAAGAAATACCTAGGGACATTAAAAAAATAATATGTCTGTTGTAGGAACAACAATACATTGTCTTCATATTTGAGTTATTTTAACTGATAACAAGGTCATTTTAATTTATATGGTGGGAAAGAAGTAGGACTGTTATTCCACATTATGGATATGAGACTAGGTGGAGAGTGACTTTTGCCCCAGGTAGCAGAAGTACTCTCAGTGAACAAGTATTAATTGGGTCACATGGATTTAAACAGGCCAATTTAGAGTTAGAATCACAGTGTTACCCCCACTATAGAATTATCCCCTTTATACAGTAGTCAGAAGCTGTATGTCTTGAGTCTCTTCAAATAGATCTACAATAAAAATGACATTAATTTTATTCTGATGCTTATGTTGTTACAAAGGTGTTGTGCGCTACAGGGGTCTGAAACAGGGCAACTCTTCTCAGGGCCAGTAATCTCATCTGATGGTCTCACTGTTTGATAAAATCAAATTATGACCACTTATCTGGCAACATACTGAATTTGATCATTGTAGTAAAATAGGTCTAAATTTTTCTGGTGTACTTAAGTGTGTGTGGTGTTGGTGTTGAACTATATATTTGAAAATTGCTGAAATCAAAGAGAGTACTTTCTTATTCTAATTAAGGAAATATATCATTGATTCCTTTGAATCTGTGAATTTTCGCATTAATGGTTAAGATTCATGGCTAGCCATGATCAATGTTTATTGAATAGACTCTTGCCTGTCTGATCCATTGAATATGACCAAGACTGCCCTCCCACAACACACACACACACACACACACACTGACATACACTTACACCTGTCATAATTTCTCACTTCAATAGGGAAATTGGTTAGGCTCATCAGTCTACTAGAAAATCAGTAGCAACCCAATATCCTTAGTAAGGTGAGCCCTGGTTCTAAAGATACCTGAAAAACATTTTACCTACTGTGAAAGTTCTTTTTATCTCATTCATATCAGAGTTCCAAATCAGTTCAGAAAGGATGGTAGGCAAAGAGCTTACATTTAATTACTGAGAAGGAAGTGGGAAAAAAATCTTTCTCAAATTCATAAAATTTCTCATTCATTTGACTAATTATGAGATTGAAATTGACTTGATGATTCCATGTCAAGCTACCAGGAAAATAAAAATGTTTCTATGAAATTAGTTAATTGGGTAATAAACTCTAAAGTGAGGTGCCTTGAAAAATGAGTCAGACTCTGTCCTTGAGGCTGGGTTTGCACTCAGGAATGCACATGACAATGGGAGGACATGATCAGGGGCTTGAGGCATCAACCTGATTACAACCCTTGTCTTTGCCCCAGACCATATGCATGCATCAGTCAGATGCCAAGTACCTAGATGGAGTTGGTAGCCCCTGGTTCTCCCCAGCAGTCATCTTTCTATAGTTCTACTAACTCATTAATGTGGAACATAATTCAGTGGGAAGTTAGGAAAGTGTATATCTTTTCCCAAACACTCATTCCGAAAAAAAAAAAAAGATTATATTGCTTCTAAGTTGGAGAAGCACTAATATATTATCAGTGCAGATTCCTATTTGCATATATTTATTTGGTTGGTAACATCGGTTAATTGGAGGCAGAAAAACTAGGTGTCTTCAGTAGTCCTTTTTTGTACTTGTTGAAATTTAAAACAACTTTTCAGAAAATTTGAAAATGTTACCTGTAGTTTTGAGGGTTAATGAGATAATTAGAACTGATTATTTTTAATTATGCACTTACCACTCAAAAAGTCACATAATCAAGGGATGAGCTCTAAAAAAGGTACATTTAAAATAATTATTGACACATAAATAAAACAACTCATTCCAACAAAGTTGGGTGTGAAGTGGAAAAATGAATTTCTGCAGAAGTTTCTACTTTAGATTTTCTCAGGAGTTGGTTTACTCATTCTTGACAACTTGTTGTTTTATACAGTAAGCCTTCATATTTTAATAACAAATCTCTGTATTATAAAATGTGTTGAAATAAAATTTGTAAAAATATTCTAGGAACAGTGATATATGCACACCCATGTTTGTAGCGGCACAGTTTGTAATAGCTAAAACTTGGAAACAGCCCATCTGCCCATCAGTTGGAAACTGGATAAAGAAGATGTGGTTTTTCTCTAAAATGGAATATTACTCAGCCATAAAGAATGACAAAGTAGATTCATTCATAGGTAAATGGGTACATTTTGAGGATATACTCCTAAGTGAAATAAATAAGTCACACATATGCAAATACCAAATAGTTTCTCTGGTGTGAAAAACTAAAATAGTACTTAAGATCCTAACGAGGCAATTAGCAATGTGAAATAGGAAGAAAAGGACCAAAGGTGTAGGGACAGTGAGAAGGATAGGGAAAGGGGAATAAGGGAAAAGGAAAAAAATATGAGAAAATGTAAAAATGGAATTAAAGTGTTTGAAGGTGGGGAGGGGAGGAGGGGGTGAAGGGAGGGCAAGGACAAGGGGAAAAAATGAGAACCAAGACCTGGCATGTAAAGGTACAAGATCCCAGTAATGAATGGAACTGTACTTTCTACCTAGAATGTACCAATAAATTCAATTTAAAATTAAAAAAATATTCTAGGAGACAAAAAAGGCAGAGTCCCTTGGAATGCATCCTGATAATACCAGCCCTCCTTGATTCATAGTAGCCTTTTGGCTTCAAGAGCATTACCTCTAAAGTCATGTGTATAGAGACATTAGCATTCTGTTTGTTCTTTCTCTTTCCAAGGTCCAGCACTGTTTAATGTACTCTGGACAAACATGTTTTGGTCTAGGTAGCCAGGCTGCAATTTATTGACCATGTTAAAGAAATAGTTAAAAGTATGTATGAAGACAATGAAAAACAAGGAGCTAAAATACAGTATAGTATCATGACCAAAATTGAAAAGGATAAGCATTTTATGCATTTTGTATTCAAAGCTAAAAATTAGCCCAATTATCATTTTAAACTAATTACTTTAGCTCATAAATTTTCATCTTCATTTTTTAATTTTAGTTTTTAGATCATGTTCATTATTATTGTCAATATATCAGATCATTACTTCTAGAAGATTTTTGACTTAAAGTAGAATATATAATCTCTTTTGTAGAAAAAACAATACATTTCTAGTGTTATGCTAATTCAACCCCCATGCTCTCACATACAGTATTATTTTTTATTTTTCTTTTTTATTAGTGCATAATTGTGCAGATTAGTAGGCCTTATTTTGGCATATTTGTACATGCACACAACATAGTTTGTTTTATTTTTTTCTTGGTCCTGGGGATTGAACTCAGGACCTTGCATTTGCTAGGCATGCTCAGTGCCATGGAGCTAAATCCCCAGCTATGTAATATACTTTGTTAATTTTCCCTCACTCTCTTTCCCCTTTTCTTACCCTGCCCCTGATCCCTTCCCTCTTTTCTAATATCTCCCTCCTACTCTCATGTCATCTTCACTTCTCTTTTCCCTACTAGGCTCCTTAAAAGAGGAAACGTAATATTTGACTGCATGAGTCTGACTTATTTAACTTAACAGGATGATTTCTGGTTTTATCCATTTTCTTTCACGATTCCAATGTGATTTCACTCTTTTTTATGCCTGAATAATAGATGTGTGTGTGTGTGTGTGTATTTTTTTCCTTCATTCATTCATCTATTGATGTGCACCTAGGGTGCTTCTATAGCTTATTTATTGTGAATTGCACTGCACAGACATGGGTATGCTGGTATATCTCTATATTTTGCTGATTTTAATTCTTTTTAGGACTATGCTGAGGAGTGGCAAAGCTGAATTAAATGGTATCTCTACTTTCTGAGGAAACTCCATGCTGATTTCTGTAATGGCTGTACTAATTTATATTCCCACTAAGAGTGTAGAAAGTTTTTCTCCCATATTCTCATCAGGCTTTATTGTATTTTTGTATTCTTGATGATCAGTCTCACTGTGATGAGATGGAATCACAGTGTAGTTTTGATTTGCATTTCCAAGACTAAAGTGGTTGATCATTTCTTTCAAATATTAGCCATTTGTACTTATTCTTTTGAGAAGTATCTTGTTCAATACATTTGTCATTAGTGATTGGACTATTAAATTTTTGGTGTTAAGTTTTTTGAGTTCTTTATGTACTCTGCATATTTGTAGGAAGAGAGGTTAGTAAAGCCTTTCTCTCATTCTGTAGGCTATCTCTATTGATTGTTTTCCTTTGCACGCTCTTGTGCTTCACTCGTAGCTACACCTTTGGGAAGTACCTGCGATTTTGCCCGATAATCTAACATTATAGGAATTTGCTGAAGTTGTTGAATTCTGCTTAAAGTCTTAAATGTTTATTACAGAAGAAATTGTTTATTATTTTATAGTTTTTTCTCTAAGACGTCAGGATAAGAAAGTATTTCATCCATGGTAATCTAGTCAATATTGATAGAAATGGCAAGCTTTCAGGTAATCCTAAAGAGTTTATACAGAGCAAAGGAGAGGGAACTCATGGATTTACACAGAGAAAGTCCCCTGTGCCTCTCAGTGAATTATTAATTCATCAGTGAGTGACTGAGTGGGGAAGTGGACCATTTACTCAGTTATGACTCATCTCAGTGCACTGGTTGGCTTACTCACAGAGAAGACCTCTCCCGCGAGGTCTACACACCCAGGTTACATGGAAAAAAGTAATTGATCACTTTTAGGTTACAAATTATTTTCCCCATTCCAGACCAAGGAAGAAACAGAGTGTTTATTTGGGTATTGACTTACAGAGAGAGCAGTGAAAACCATGTTGATGGCGCCAACTCCAATGGTTGCATAAACAGGCTGGCTGAGTCCAGCTGTCTGAAAAATGCTGGTTGAATAGTAAAAGATCTGCAAAGTAAAAACACATTGACCTTAAACAAGTAGACTTGCATTGGTATATTTAAAGCAAGAAATGTTTTAGGTTGCTTGTTTTTATATGTTTCTATACCCTCTCAAAGAACCTATACTTCTTTTAGTGTTTACAACTTCTGACTGTTTAAAATTCCTCCTTATATTTATCTGAAACTCTTACTGCTTTTGAAAATTCTTTTAATTTCTAAACTTTTGTTGAAGGATAACATATAAAACATACATATATCATAAGTGTACAGGTTACTTAATTTGAAGGAACTGTGTAACTAGCACTCAGATCAAGAAATAAATCATTTACAGCTCTATGGAGTCTCTCTATATGTCTTAGGGAAATCACTCTTTCAGTATCTTACATCATAGATAAAGTTTGCCTTGCCTTATACTTGACAAAAACAGAAACACATAATATGTACTATTTTGTGGTTGGCTTCTTGTGCTTAATATTACCTATGTAAGAATTATCTTTACTGTTGTATATATTTGTAGACTGCTCATTTCCATTACTATATAGCATTTTGTTTTAAATCTGTAATTCAGTCACCCATGCTACTTCTGATGACTATTTAGGTTGCTTCCACTTGGGATGATTATGAATAGTGCTGCCAACAGTTCTTTTGGTGGTATATATGTGTTTTTATGCCTCGTGAAAGAACTGCTGGGCCATAGCATATGCACATACTCTGCTTTGCTAGACTCTGCCAAACACTTGTGCGAAGAAGTTATGACAATTTTGTACCTTCACCAGTGTGTATAAGAGCTCTGGCTGCTATTGAATTTGGTCCAGAATTTTCTACTCATCTCGATACTGATGGAGAAATGACTTCACAACCTTGCTAATAGGAAAAAAAATTAGCTACATTTATTTCTAACAGTCTTTTGGATCATTGTCATCTTTTGTCATTCTGTCATCATCTGTCGTTCTTTTCCCACCTAAAATGTCCTGTTGCTGACCTGATTCCTTCTCTTGCAGGACTGACAGATTATGTTATGCCAGCAATGGCTTGCAATGTACGCTATTTCACCAATGTTTGTTCAAAAGCCTCAGTTTAAAGATTTCTTCACTGTCTCTTTAAGTCAGACACTGAGATGGAAGTTGAAGTAGGAAGTTCAGAAGGAGTAAGTATTGTGCCATTAGGTATACAGGCAGAGAGGTCCAACAGAAGATATGAATTTTGTCTGTGATTCTCAAAAGGGATCTCTTAAATGAGGATGGAGACCATAGAAGTATTTTATTTGTAGAATGAGAATCATTTCAAATATCCTTTTGCTTCAACTGATGGGAATTATTTTTACTTTTATTTTTTTGAGACAGGATCTCAGTATGTAGTTCAGGCTGGCCTTGAACTCAGGATAGAGCCCAGGCTGCCTTTGAATTCATGTCACACCTCCTGACTCAGCCTCCCAAGTGGTGGGATTACAGGTGTGGAATTATATTATTTGCTTACCCCAAGACTCTACTCATTCATCCTTCACCCCCAGAGTGTCTTGTGGCTCACTATATAGAAGCCCAGTCCATATTTTTGACATAAATAAAACAGACTGATTTTCTTTACTTAGTTTCTTAAGTGCTTTGTTTTTCCTCTTCCAGTGGCTAATTGCCAGTAGGACCATTTAATCTACATGATGCAGGGGTTTCAATTTAGAAACTAAAAGCTAATGGTTTAATACTCAGCATATTTTTCAGTCATATCTTTTCTGCCATACTCACCTATTTCATTCTATTGGTTGTGCTGTCTTCCCAAAGTGGAAGTTTTTTTTATGGAAAGAAATTGCACTTTGCATGTCATATTCATTACTTCATTTAAATAAATAAAGGGAACCATGGACTTCTTTCTGTCCATACATATTCTTAGAAATCCATAATTTTATATTTAACTCTTGAAGTATCATGAAATTTAGGTTTTTTTTTGAAGAAGTATATTTACTCTCTTTCTCCTTCTTTGTTTTTTATGACTTTTACCTTGATCAATAGAAATAAAGTAGTATTGATTTTTGACTTTTTAAATACATCGTGAGTTAATTTTAGAAAGCCATGGAAGCAAAGCAAGGAAAATTTATTATCATTTAATATATATTTATTATAGTAGCATCTGGTGTCAATATTTTAATGTGTCTTTTTAGTCATTTAAACTTACACTTCCTTCTCTGTATTAATTTTATTTACTTTCCTAAAGTTATAAGGTGTCCTTAAACTTACTGCATTGATCCCAGAAAATTGCTGAGCCATGTGCAGCATCAACGCCACTATCATAGGCTGTCGATAGCTGGGATTGGTGAAGAGTTGAATCACAGAAACTTTCTGCTCACTTGATGCTTCTTCTTTTTCCTTTTTCATCTCATTCATGTCTTTGGTGACATCATTACTTCCTCTGAGTCTTTTCAAGCCTGTCCCCCAAAACGATCAAGTTGAGACAACCCAGGTGAAATGAGAATACATTTATTTTTATCACGTTCATGAAAGAGCTACAATTGTGCATGTTTCTTTGTATTACCTAATAGCATGGCCATTGGAAATCTTTTTTGTTAAATGATGCTCTATATTTTAAAACACAACACTTTCATATCAGAGAAGCCTATGATCCTTGTTAGCATAGCATAATACTAGAAAATCTTTTGGAAGCCTCTGGTTAGGTCTAATACCCTGCAGGTGGGTTTCTGGCTTAGGTGTGGGTATGAGATGGTATGCACCAGTCCTATTAAAGGTTTATGGGTGTGAGCTGGTTTGTGGAAGCCCTATCAAAGTGATTTTTGCATATTCTCCTCTATGTGATCTCTGACTTCATTTGGCAGGCACAGAAATTGATTTCATGAGCAACCATTTGCATACACTATTTTGTATTAGCTGATAGTTTCAAAACAATAGGATGAAAGAAAAATCACCTACAGACTTACTTTTCTTAGCTTTGACTTCCTCTTCCAACTTGATGTAAAGATACCTGGGGCTTTCTGGACAGAAGATTAATAACAGAGACTGCAGAAGAGCTGGCACAGCAGATAGGCCAAGCAGAATGTGCCACAGATCTTGATTGCCCAGGATAAAGTCAAGGCCAATAATCTAGGAAGAGAAGGAGGAAGCATATCAGCTGTAAAACACTTTAGGTCTGCCTTCTACAACAATTTGTTGTAAAAGTACATTGGCTATTTAATCCTAATACCATCTAGGCAAGCACTCTGGGAGGCTAAGGTAGGAGTTTGAATTTAGTAACATGGTGAGACTTTGTCTCAAAAAAAAAGAGGGGGGAGGGTTGGAATTGCAGATCAGTGTGAAAGCCTTTGGTTCATTCCCCAGTACCATTATAAAAAAAGTAATTAATTACAACATCAGTTCATAAAGTATAAGGTGGAAACTATTTATAGTGTATTTTACCTTCACCAAATTAGGGACAATTTTTTTTGACAAATAATTCATCTAGCCTTGTTTTCATTAACTCCAATTAGACCCAATTAAAAAAAACACATTTGATATCTAAAGCAACATATGGTTGTAGTCTCCAGGCAACCTTACAGAATTATGGTTGAAATCATATGAAAAATAGGATTAAAATCATGCATAACTTTAAGGCTTTGCTTTAAAAGTCTTTCTTAGGTTAAATAAAATGGATTTCGTAGAACAATTCCTGGATCAGAATCAGCTTTATGATCCCAATTACAGTGATCCATGTGCTTCCTTCTGGATCATGCATGTAGGCTTCCAAACACTCTCTGAGACCAAAAGGAAGAAGGAAAAGGATAGAGTCAGCTGAACAAGGGCTTCTCTGACTTGTCTATGTACTACATTTCCAGGTAAGATGCTCAAAACAAAGGAAACCCAGGCAGTCAAAACTTTGAAGGTTCCTATTCCTTGAAATCTAAATGTAATAATTTAATTCTGGAGTAGTATTGGAAGCTTCACCTCGAGTGCCAATCCACCTGCAACTTCTAGGAGAAAAGTGAGAAGGGGCAACAACTGACCTTTGATTCAAAAAGTCTTTGTCTCTTACCACCTCCACTACCGCACTATTGGGATGGGCTTTTTCTTTCTTCTTTAAACTGTGCTGGTTTACAGCGGGAGGACTCAGTCAGGGAGGGAGACAGTAGACAAAGTAGAAGATGGGTAAAGCAGGGGAAGAGGAATTTTTACCTGACTGATAAGAATGCCTGTGACAATGGCCAGCTGGTGAAGAGTGCCAAGTGCACCCCTGAGCGAGGTTGGAGCAATTTCACCGATGTACATTGGAACCAGCCCTGAAATTAGCCCTGAATAAAACATGAATATAAATGTTAAAGTGCATCCAGAGATATTTTAACAACAACAATTTGGTTTAAATACAGTCAATATCCTGACTGAAAATCCCATCCTGAGTCCCTTGGAAAAAAGAGCCCTTGTCCTCTGCCAAAAATGCAGTTTATACAAAAAAAATTTTTTTGTTGATCAACTCTAAATATTAATAGAAAGAAATGGTTATTCATATATTTAACAAATTTTCATGATGTTTTAGTTTAAAAAAAATGTATGTCTATTTAGTTAATGGGATGATGGCTCAGACTGCCTTGAGAAAGAGATTGAAAAAAAATTAGAGCTTCCATAGGCCAACCTCTTGACAGAGGTGAGAAGTGGTTTGTCCCAAATCACAGTATATGGATGTTATAAAGCAGTGTTACTGTGACAACTGGGAGCCCTAACCAAATCTCCACTATGAGAAGGTGTTTCACAAACACTGTTGAGGTGGTGATGGGACTGTAGAAAGGTGGAAGAGGTTAAGGAACTCAAGAACCCTTTTCCCAGATCTTCAAATCAGAGCAACCTAGTTTCTCTGTTCAGTTCAAATATTGGGGGCATCAGAAAAGATTTTATTTGAAAGAACACTTTTGATGCTTGAATGAATATGGAAAATTAAAGTGCTAGGTCATTCTTCCTCTTGTAACTTTCTTAAGTACATATATAATCAGTCATTTTGGAAATGGTGGTGTTTCTAGTATTTGCTGACTGTTGTTTGAAAGTTTTTAAAGAATTTAAAAATGATCTTCCAGAGTTTTTCTTAGATTATGCTTATCTATCACACATAAGTGGGTGATCTTTATGTAAATGATCCTTTTGGCAAATATTTCTCTCTTTCTTCCTCTCTCCTTGTGTGTGTTGTGTATGTATGTGTGTGCTTCAAATTGTTCTTATATCTCAAATGAATATTTATTGATATGGCATCTGTACTTCTGCAGAGTTTTTTTTTCCTCATTGAGTTTGTTGGTATTTTTTAGGTATACAGTACAGTTACACTCATTATTGGGATCTTGTACCTTTACATGACAGGTCTTGGTTCTCATCTTTTCCTCTTGCCCCTGCCCTCCCTTCACCCGCTCCTCCCATCCCCATTTACAATCACTTTATTTCCATTTCTTTCATTTTCTCATATTTTTTTCTTTTGCTTTATTCCATTTCCCCTACCCTTCCCACTTTCCCTACACCTTTAGCCCTTTTCTTCCCATTTCACATTGTCAGTTATTTCATTAGGATCTTATATACTATTATAGTTTATTCACATCAGAGAAACTATTTGGTATTTACACATGTGTGACATTTATTTCACTTAGGAGTATATCCTCAACATGTATCCATTTTCCTAAAATGAATCTAACTTCTTATTCTTTATGGCTGAGTAATGTTCCATTTTATAGAAAAACCACATCTTTATCCAGTTTCCCACTGATGGGCAAATGGGCTGTTTCCAAGTTTTAGCTATTACAAACTGTGCCGCTATAAACATAGGTGCACATATATCACTGTGATATGATTCTTTTAATTCTCTTGGAAAGATACCCAACAGAGGGATGGCTGGGTCAAATGGAACCTCTAGTCCCAGCTCTTTGAGGTATCTCCATATTGATTTCCACAGTGGTTGCACCAGTCTGCCCTCCCACCAACAATGGAGAAGGGTTCCTTTCTCCCCACAACCCCGCCAACATTTGTTATTTGATTTCTTGATAGCAGCCATTCTTTGTGGGGTGAGGTGGAATCTCAGTGTTGTTTTCATCTGCATCTCTCAAATGACCAGTGATGTGGAACATTTTTCATATATGTACTTGCTGCTTTTACTTCTTTGTATGAGAAATGTCTGTTCATTTCAGATATCCATTTTTGAATTGGATATGTGACTTTTACATGTGGTCTGTTGAGTTTAAATAAGAAAACCCCATTTGGCCCTTTTGAGATTGTACTATTCTCCTATAATACATAGTACTGTACTTCAAAATTGCAATGATATAAAGAAACTCACAGGTCTAGAGTCACATGAGCCTGAATTAAAATTTCCCATATTTCTGGCAACCTTAATACTAAGAATAGGGCCACACCTAATTTTAATAAATGGTTGAGTATAAAATACTTTAGAATGCTTGTAGGTTATTTCACAGTATGTTTATGGCATTTGTTCTCAATTTTCAAAGAATGGAATTTTTAAAAAATAGAAAATAGGATCATGATTGGATCTTCTTCACACTGCTATTATTTGCTTTTAACCCAAGAAGAAATTGAAGCTCAGAGGTAATTAATATTGCCTAAGGCAAAGCAGAGATAGTGCAAGAATTGATTCACTCTGAGTCCATAGTTCTTTCAACATCTTGGCTGACTCTTCACCTTAATAAAGCCATTATGACCTTCAGTTTTTTGAATTGTCATTGACAATAATGAAAAGAGACATTTAATTAAGTTACTAATGTGGGTATTTTAGGCCTTGGCTTATACTGATCACTGAAGACACATGGAATTAAAATCTTTTGTGCAAGTGAAAGTGTTAGAAATCTTTTATACACACAAATTTGTACTTTCATCATTCCTTCTTCATTCCAGTGAATATTAGTACTTAGAAGGGCAACTACAATTTGTGAATGGATTACAACATCAGCTCAGAACCATCAGAACCCAAGGATTCACTGGCATGAGAATGGAATGAGAAGTTAAACATTTGTCCACTTGTTTTAGAGATTGAATGCTTCTGTTTTTGTTTGGACCTCTGCTAATTAGTTGCCTTGAAATTTTGCAAAGCTGTCTACCAGAAGTAGTGATTCCCTTTATACAGATATAGGGTTCACAGAGGGAGCATCCTCAATTCTGAACTCCTCTACTGGATGCTTCTGCCTGAGTCCCTCTCCTTGTGGTCACCAGTGCTTTAATGTATTATGCAGCTAAGTCGGAAATCTGTTAGGGCTAGAAAGTAGGGTCTACAAGAGATTGGTCCAGCTTTGCAGTCTTGCTGTATCTGAGAGAAAAGGACGAAAACAGGTAGGCAAAGTGATGTGGTCTGAGTGTTGCCATCTTTTACTGTCTAGTGCACCCAGGAGTGATAACAACTGCTAGCATTTATTGGCAGCTTAGTATATGTCCGATTCTATCCTCTTTATATTTTTCTTACAATCATCTGGTAGGACAGGTACTATCTTCTTCATTTCATACATGAAGAACTTGCACATAAGACCTAAATAATTTTCCTGAGGTCGGATAACTAGCAATGATGTTATTAAAGTGGAAAGGACCATACATTGGATTACAATTCCCATTTTCTAATCTCAAACCCTGACTCAGGGCTTCACAAACACTATGGTATTACCTTTATCTCTGTGATACCACCCTGGGCTAAAAAATAATCATGTATGTTACCACAAAGTACTTTTCAAAGGTGTGTTTGTGTGTCTTACCACAGTACAGTCCTGATATGCTTCTTCCTGCAATTATGAGAATATGAGATGGTCCTAATTTTGCACACCCCATCAAGAGAGCTCCAACTAGCGAGAGACTGTTTGCTGCGAACAAGGCTTTGATTCTGAAATTTAAAAAAAATCAAGATTTCAGCATCAAAACCTGATAAAAAAATTTGCTTTCAGAGCATGCTGAAGTTTTTACCTAAAGGTAATTATTTTAATTTTGATGTAAAAGCTAATTTAGGAATTTTGAACCAAAATTGTTACTTTGACTCCATACACCAAAGTATTAGCAGAAAGTAATATTTATGATGGAAAAATCTGGGCTTCACACACCTGGTCTCCACATGTTGATAGAGATGACCAATTTGATTTAAAATAACACTTCTAATACTTTTTCAAACAGTAGCTAATTAAGTTTTCTACAAATTTAGGAAATAATTAGCTGATGATATATTAATTCAGTTCTGTGGTTGTAACCTCTAACTTGTTCTTTTTTCTTTAACTTTTTTAATAGTAAGAGTTTTTAGTGATATGGAATAGGAGGGAAACCTTCAAAGTCAAAATTTCTTTTCTATAATTTTTGGAAGTAAATTGAAACATACTTTTGAAAGCTTGTCATAGTTATAATTATCCTTATTTTCATAAGATACATATGCCATATTTCCAGAACCAGTGTAAATGTCAGTGTCAACCAATGTAAAACATAAAGCTGATAATAGCAATAAAAACATCATTTTCAAAAGTAATCATTAGATAAAAACCTTCAAAATTAAGTTGTAATAGCTAGAACTTGGAAACAGCCCATTTGCCCCTCAGTTGGAAACTGGATAAAGAAGATGTGGTTTTTCTATAAAATGGAATATTACTCAGCCATAAAGAATGAGAAATTAGATTCATTCACGGGAAAATGGATACATATTGAGGATGTACTCCTAAGTCACACATGTGAAAAAACTGAATAGTTTCTCTGGTGTGAATAAACTATAATATTGTGCCAGGGATTTAGCTCAGTGGTTCGGTGGCCTGCCTTGCAAGTGCAAGGACCCAAGTTGAATCCCCAGTACAAAAAAAAAAAAAAAAATCCAACAAAAAAACAAAAAACAAAAATATTGCATAAGATCCTAATGATATAATGGACAATGTGAAATAGGAAGAAAGAGGCTAAAGGTGTATGGAAAGTGGGAAGGGTAAGGTAAAGCTACTAAGGGAAAAGAAAAAAATACAAGAAAATGAATACATGGAAATGAAGTGTTTGTAAAGGGGGAGGGGAGAAGAGGTGAAGGGAGGACGGAGACAAGGGGAAAAGATGAGAAGCAAGACCTGGCATGTAAAGGTACAAGATCCCAGTAATGAATGTAACTGTACTGTATACCTAAAATGTACCAATAAACTCAATGAGGAAAAAAATTAAGTAGATGATAAGGCCAATAAAAGAATCTGAGTGGACAGGATAAAAATGTGCCGAAAGGAAATTTGTATTCTAATATTTCAAAATCTAATAGGTGGGTTTTTAAGAAAGTATCTTTAACACCAAACATTTTGTAAAATGAAACAATTTTATATGGCAATGATTGTCTAACAGCCATACAATAGGCTGAGTAATATCTCCTCAGTGCAAGTCTATTTTTAGAGTCTGAAAATACTACCTTTTATAGCAAAGGAGGTTTTGCAAATGTGACTAAATTAGGGATTTTGTGGAAGGGAGAGTGTTTGAATTATCCAGGTGAACCAATGGTGTTTCAAAGATGTCCTTGTAGGAGGAAAGCAAGAAAGGAGAAGGCAATGAGATGACACATGGAGATTGGAGTGATGCACTTCAAAGATGGAGGAAGGGGCCCCAGGCCACCTTAGCGGAGGCCAGTACAGACTGGAAAAGGGTAAGGAAATAGTTCTCCCATCAGAGATCCCTAAAGGAACCAAGTGTGCTGAGATCTTGACGTTAGCTAAATGAAACTGACTTTAGACTTAAAACCTATGGGAAAATTCATTTGTGTTTTAAGTCTCCAAACCGGTGGTAATTTGTCACAGCAGCAATGGTAAACTAATGTAAGGAAATTATTAGCTATATTAAGGTGGAACAGTGAATAGACCTGGCTAGCCCCTGAGCTGTAGTGTTCAGACAGTTCATGGGTGCTTTTCTGCAGACTGCTGTGTGAAATGCCTTTTCTCTTTACAAGAACAGAGAGCATTCAAATCATTAATTTACCCTAAGAAGTTATTATCAGCTAGATATTAGTCTATTCTATCAGGAGGGGGAAAGACAAAAAGTATAATCCTGAAAGGATTTTTGGTGATCAATTGTCTCTCTTCCTCATTCCAAACAATATTTGCTGGAACACTTTATACAACTTAAAGGGTTTCAAATTTCAGCTCAGATATGAGAAATGGCCAAAAATTAAATATATGAAATAGTTGAATCAGGAAGAAGAAACTTATTTCTATTTCTTTAAATTTTCCCATATCTCAGCATAGGCTTCATCATTATTGTTGTCATCATCACCATCACCAGAACAGGGCTACATTTGCTGCTTTCTTACTATGTGGCAGGGATTGTGCAAAAATTCTTCATATTCTTTCCTTTTAATCATCACAATAATGTGATAAAGTAGGCATTGTATTTTTCCCACATTTCAGGTGGCAGGAAAATATCTTAGAGAGTCCAAGTAACATGCTCGTTTTCACACATTGTGTGCCCAACACCCATGTGATAGGCTGAGTAATGTCTCCGGTGAAACTAAAGGTTATTAATGCTCCATTTTAATAAGTTCCTCCTCATTCTTCTATTTTTGTGGTATTGGGGATTGAACTCTGGGCTTTGCACATGTTAGGCAAGCATTTTACCACTAAGCGGTACCCTCAGCCCTATCAGTAGAGTTCCTATGTCAACTTTCCTTGACTCATGGTAGTATGACTTGCACAGCCTATGGTTTTCCTCATTGTAATCTTGGAATTGAATTTAAGTAGACAGCCTTGGGAAAATCTGAACTTCCAAACACAAATCCACAAAACTGGTCACAGACCTCTGTTGACTGTTACTCACTGTAAAGACAAATTTTTTTAAAAGAATGATGGAAGGAACACATTTTTATTTAGTTTTAACTAATGCAGATATGATTCTGGCAATAAGAATAATCATGTCATTTCTCAGTGATTTTCCCTAGAAAAAGTTTTATGGGACACATTGAACTCTTTTGCCTTGTTTTTAATTTTTTTTTACTATTGTTTTTCAAAGAAGATAATTTTCAATTGAGAGCTGAAAGAAACTTCACTTTCCTTTATAATAGACCATTTAACAAATGGTCACTTGACATTATTTTAGGAACAACCATTGTTGATGCTAAATCCTAAGACTCCAGAGAATATGCAAACTGCCTTCATTTCTAGGACACTAATTTAATGTTTTATGCTGGGTCACTATATCTGTCAGAATCTCATCTCTCAAAGAGGGACAAAGGTTTGAGATTTTCTTCAAGGATGGGAAATAGCTGCTAAAAATTGATTTGTTCATATTTTAAAATTGAATCCTGTTTGATTTACTTTAGAAATAATCTAGGATATCTTCATTTATACCAACTTGGTGAACTTGAAATGATTATTACATTTTTTAAACAATGAAAGTTCATGTTGAGTTTTACATATTCTGATTCATATTTTAACCAAACACCAGTACATTGATAAAAATATATAAAAAACAACCTCTATCTTTTATCATGAAGCAAACTCTTTTTCAAATAGTAAGAATAAAATTTGGATTGCCACATACTCTTTAGTTACAGGAACTTTTTATAGTCTTATTGTATAAAGTTCCAGTAAAGAAGAAATTATCAGAATCAGAATAACTATACAGCTAAAAAGTACAATTTATAATAGGAATTGGAAAAAACTAAATGAATTAGAATCCAGAGCTATTAAGTTAGTTATTTATATTGTTCTTTATACCTTTAAAAGATTTTGTAATACCTAAGTAGGTATTATTTTTATCGTGAAACTAAAAGGTAATACATAGGAAGAAAAGGGCTAAAGGTGTAGGGGAAGTGGGAAGGGTATGGGAAAGGAATTAAGGGAAAAGAAAAAATATGAGAAAATGAAAAAATTGAAACAAAGTTTTTGCTAATGGGGAAGGGAGGAGGAAGTGAAGGGAGGGCAGGGGTATGGGGAAAAAATGAGAACCAAGGCCTGTCATGTAAAGATACAAGATCCCAATGATGAATTTAACTGTTCTATATACCTAAAAAGTACCAATGAACTCAATGAGAAAAGAAAAAAAAAGGTAATACAAAAAATTTGGGCTCAGAAAACAAAATAAATGTAAATAAATAATTATTTGATTTTCTGATTTTATTCCTTCCCTATATAGGGGAAGAATCCACCCAACTTTAGTATGTTACATAACTAAGAACATGGTAGAAGAGCACCACCAATGTTTTTAATCTATAGAACTTCTAGTAGAAACCAGATAATCACTATGATCCTTGAATTTGGAAGTTATAAAATATACTAAGAAACTACTGAAGAAATGGTTAACTCAGGGACTCAGCAGGAGAACCTAGGTTGGAATTTTTAACCTGGAAATCTACTATTTGTTTTGTCAAATCACACCATTCTGAGAACTTTTAGGAATGTTTCATCTTGCTTTATCTTGAGCTGAGGCTTTGAGGTAGCAGTAGCAACAGTAGATAGCAACCCTATTCCAGCTGGGGATTTAGCTCAGTGGTTCCACCTCCTCCTAACAAGTGCAAGGTCCCGAGTTCAATTCCCAGAACACACACACACACACACACACACACACACACACACACACACACACACACACACACCCACACACACACAAACCCAAAAAACAAGAAAACAAAAAAAACCTATTCCAAGAATATGGGGCTACTAGTAGTTGGCAATACTGACTTGACCTTGGGACTTGACTGGTCCAAATGCCAAATTTTCATCTAAAAAATGAAACACTGGTTGCCTGAGAATGGTGTCATTTGATCAAAAAAAAAAAAATGGTAGATTTCCAGGTTAAAAATTCCAAACTAGGTTCTTCTGCTGAGTCCCTGAGTTAACCATTTGTGTAGTGGTATCTTCGTATATCTGATAACTTCCAAATTGTGAGGATTGCAGTGATTATCTAGAAATCTACACCAAATTCACTTTTCTGAAAATGCTAACAGTTAACTAGATTATTGCAACAGCATTTTCCACTGATTTGGTCTAATACTGACCTGCCTGATTGGGTTATAAGTTGAAAAACAATTTTAAAACTGTTACACAAAAGGAAACAGTATTGTTCTAAACAAATTCTAACAACACCAAAATACTAAAGTTTCTATGTTTATGATTATTTATGAAATACACCTACCTTCCAAGTTTGTCCCCAAGCCACCCACCAAAGAAAGATGCAATCATTCCACCCACTGCAAAGGTGGACACAGACAAGGACCAGAGCATGGTGATTAAGCCAGTAGATGTCACAGTCTCTTCCTCAGGCCAAGGGACTGGTGTTGGGGTTCCTGGGTGCAGGGAGATGGGCAATGCATCTGTAGTGTTGAAAACATAGTCGTCGGTAGCCTTTCGGTCATCTAGTGGAACACCCAAAGCATGTCTATAATGAGATATTATTACCTACAGAAATAAAATAAAGAAAAATAAGCCCACTATTCAAACATTCTATATAGTTTTGATTTTCCTTTAAAATATTTGTTAGGTGTTTAAAGAGGACCACCCCAACTAGTGTGTTATGGTCCTACAACATGGATAGATTTATAGTTGACCATATGCAATGATCACAAATCCAGTGTTAGCAGGAACCAGGCAAGGAAGGTTAAGTGAAATAGACATGGAGTATCTCCATGACCACAGTGGTGAAATACAATCTGTACCCTAGGGACATAATTGGGAGTGGTTAGCTTGTGGTGGGGTAGCAGTTGTCCCACCTTAAGGAAGAAACTGCAGAGGTAAAACTGGTGTTGTATGACCTTTAATATTTGAATAGAATTCAGAAATCTGAGTTTTTGTTTAAAAGTTTTAAGGTTTTTAGGTGGCCTGCCTTGCAAGCGCAAGGACCCGAGTTCAATCCCCGGTACAAAAAAAAAAAAAAAAAAAAAGAAAAAGAAAAAAGTTTTAAGGTTTTAATTGCTGGCAAATAGTCAAATTGAGAATATTCTTCTGGTTAAAAAGATATGTTTTTATATCAGTATTACTTCTGCACAATAGGATTTAAATAAATTGAAATATTCTAATGAAAGCATAAGAGACTGAGGAAGACAAGATGAGGGTAAAAAATAAAGTTAATACTACCCAAAATTCAAACACTAGGTGTATTATCTTTGTAGTAGTAAGCTATAGATTCAGTGCTAAAGTTCCTGGCAGCCAGGACAACGAGAGGAAAATAATCAGGAATATAATTGATGAATTCCAAAGATAAAAACAACTCTGAAGATCCTGAGAAGATGTGAAAGGAAGGTCACTCCATAGGTCCTCATAGAGCAGTGGTGGCAAACCGTAGGCACATGGGCTGCCCCAGGCTGCTGTTATCATTGCAAGCTCTAACAGGTTCCCCATTACTGCCATAGAATTTAGTGTGTCATAGAAGGAACAATATTTAGAATTCAGTCTCACTGAGTCACATTTTATAATGTGCTTCAGTAGAGGCCAATATGTCAGCTAGAAGCACGTCCTCCGGCCATGATTTGATCACAGTGATTTGATCACTGTTCAGCCTCAGTGAGTTGGACAGTCTTCTCTGGCAAGGACCAAGATTGCATCTGCTCTCGGTTACCAGTGAAGAGCAAAACCCTATTCAGTAAAACTAGCTGAGTGAGGGGGGAGAATCGACATCGACATCCTTTCATAAAACAGATCTGATCAAGACACTTGCCTCGTTAGATGGCTGCCCAAAATAGATAACATACGTAGGAAACAAGGCTGGAAAGAAATGTTCAAAATGTTGTTAGTAGTTTTCTGTATGGCATACAGCACTTAGGGGTAGTTTTTTTCTTATATTTTTCTGTAGTAAGCATCTATGTTTTCATAATCATAAAATGGTCTGTTTTTAAAATACCTTAAAATAACTGCACATGTTTTTCAGCTAATAATAAAATAAGAGGCCTGAATGGATATTTTTATTTAATGGTGTTTAACCAGGTGTTTAAACCCAGAGGAAAGGGGCTGTGGAGGGAATAGTAACCTGGAGGGAGGAGAGAGAAGAAAGGGAGGGAGTGAGGGAGGAAAGAAGAGGAGAGAGAGAGACAGAGAGAGAGAGCGGGAGGAGAGGGGAGAGGGGGAGAGGGAGAGAGAGAATATGAATCAGGGACTTGAATCAAAGGAGGGGAAACTAGCCTACTTTCTCTCTAAGAATGGAGAGAATAGTATAAACAAGGATATGAAAAGGTCTTCCATAGAATTCTAGTAGAATTCTTTCAGTAGAAGGAATTCTGCCTAGCAGAGGGATGGCTGGGTCAAATGGAACCTCTGCGGGGTATCTTTGCAAAAGAAATAAAAGAATCATACCACAGTGATATATGCACACCCATGTTTATAGAAACACAGTTTGTAATAGCTAAAACTTGGAAACAGCCCATTTGCCCATCAGTTGGAGATTGGATAAAGAAGATGTGATTTTTCTATAAAATGGAATACTATTTAGCCATAAAGAATGAGAAATTAGAATCATTCATAGGAAAATGGATACATATTGAGGATAAACTCTTTTTTGTTTTTTTTTGGTAGCAGAGATCGAACTTGGGACCTTGCCCTGGTGAGGCAGGCAGTAGCACCACTGAGACAAATCCCCCGCCCAAGAATATATTCTTAAGTGATAAATAAGTCACATGTGTAAATACCAAATAGTTTCTCTGGTGTGAAAAACTATAATTGTACATAAGATTCTAATGGTATAATTGACAATGTGAAATAGAAAGAAAAGGGATAAAGGTGTAGGAAGTGGGAAGGGTAGGGGAAAGGAAAGAAGGGAAAAGAAAAAAAAATGAGAAAATGGAAATAAAGTATTTATAAATAGGGAAGGGGGGAGGGGTGAAGGGAGGGCAGGAGTAAGGGGAGAATGAGAACCAAGACATATCATGTAAAGGTACAAGATCCCAATGATAAATGTAATTGTACTGTATATCTAAAATGTATGAATGAACTCAGTGAGAGAGAGAAAGAGAGAAAAAAAAGAAAGAATTCTACCAATGCCAAGTCATGGTGACATTGAACTGAATTTTAAGAAGCCTGCTAAATTGGCCTGTGTGATCACCACCCACAGAAGAAGATATGACCATGGTCTCTTGACTCCCAACATAGTTTTCTTTGTCTTAGCCACAGAGAGGCCTGCCACACTCATGATGTGTGGTATCTAATGAAAGCACATCTTTTGGCCCAAGGGCCAAGGAGCAGCCCTTTTCAGGTAATGGACTGTGACCAGCACATATTTCATCCATTTACACTCTGCAATATCCTATAATTTCCTTTTAGCTTAGAGCTATAAAAGAAGCACATGAAACATGATAAAGCACAGAAGCACCAACCAAGGCTTTTACCTTCACCTTATGCCACCCATTTCCCAGCCTCCCCAAACTCCATTTTTCTCTTTCTCTTCATCATTTAGTGAGTACTTTCCTATGTCAACCATCATGTTTGACACTATGCACAAGTCTGAATTAGTGCAAGGGGGCTGAAGCCGTGTTTTCCCTACTTAGAGCCTATGGGAGTGAGAATGATGAAATCTCTCTCCTCAGTATTCACTAGATAACAGAGCACAGATATACAAAATAAATGAGAAAAATTCTAGAAATTGATATTTTAAAAACCCAACAATTCAAATACAATCATGAAGAAAATCCAAACTCTGTCAGACCTCTTAACTATCATTGAAGTTTTATATTACTTTATATTGAATGCCTTATGGAAGTCTGGCATAGAGTGAGGGACGATCACCTTTTTAGAATTAGGGCTCCTAAAGTTTATGATCTGACCTGGAAATGTGTGGAACCTAAAGGTTATGATCTGGTCTGGGAATGGGTATAATACGATTTTGAGGATCTGGCTCAGAAGAGCATATATTGAAGTATCCGATGCAAATAAGGAGGGCTCAGTGAACATACACAGAATCAAACATATCATTCTATAGTTTTCTCTTCTTCTCTGGCATTTTTCATTTATGCACAAGTGAGAGCTCTGAATGAATGGTGCAATAAACTCTCTGGGCATGTGATATTCCAGTTAGAGTTTTCTGTGAGCTCAGGCAACAGCAGAGTCAGAGATCAAGCATTATTTATTGCTTCTTTTTCCCCCTGTGGGCTGCTACCTGAGGAGTCAAGGCCAAGTTATCAGCTTTGGAACCACGTGCATTGTACTTGGCAGGCCAGGATTACCCTATGTCCCCCACGTGGACACACTTTATCTTCACGACAGAACTTGGCCCAGAAAGAGCTTACACATATTCATGTTTCACTTGCCTGTTGAGGTGCATTGATCACACCAATGTCGTATCCAAACTGGAAAGAACTCAGTACAGCAGTGAAGACAGTAAAAGCCAAGGTTCCAGTGATCTGTGGGTTGAAACATACAGCTGGGATACACCAAACAGTTCTGGCTACCACCATCCCACCATCCTGCACTGTGAACTTTTACAGGCTCCATGGTCTGGTTCTTTCCTCTTGATGACCTTTCACGATATGCTCTGTGCTGTGCTGGGTAGGTGTTGTTCTAAGATTGTTAAAGTCATTGATTATTTTCTTCACAACCATACTCCACAGCACATGAAATTACCCCCATTTTACAGCGGAAGAAACCAGGTGCAGAGAGGATTAAGGGGCAAGCCTAACACTGCAGAAGTACAGCAGTACCTCTGTTGGTGAACTTAATTCTTTCCACTATTCTGGTCACAAATCAAATTGGACAAGAACCGAATCAAATTCAATGGTTAGGTTCATTGTTGACCTTATGGGGAAATTTGACTCAGTTCTCATCCAATTTGGTTTGTGACCAGATTGGAGGAAAGAATTAAGTTGATGAACTGAGGCCGCTGTAACAAATTATGGGTCTCTAAGCTGATGGTCTTAACCCCTCACTATTGAATAAAAGCAAATTTTTTAGCAACTACACATTGACTAGGGAAAATAGTTTATGCACTTCCTCTAAACACATGGTTTAGGAAGCCAAGCCAGTGACAATCTTGCACCCAAAATGGAAATGGCCAGGGGCTTTTCAAGCCATAGAATTTGCAAGTTAAAAGAAAGCTTAGATAGCAATGAGTGTTTGTCTGATTTCTTCATTTTTTCAATTAAAAAAATTGAGGTTCCATAGGCTAAGTCCCTCGTCTGAGTTCTGTACATATCCAGAGTAACACCTGAGGTCTCTTGACCTCACTTTCTGTGAATGTCCTCCTATTCCTTTTAACCACAAGTGGTTAACATCCACTGCTTTTTTCAAAAAACTGAAAAACATTGCTTTTTATATAGGCTCTCAAATATTTCTAGGTTCTATTATTAGGTGATTCTTTGTTTCTCCAGAAAAGTTCTACAACCTAATTTCTAAATTCCTAAGGGAATTTAAGTAGCTGTAAATGAAGCTTGGGCATCCTATGCCAGGCTCCCTGCTAAGCACATTGCCTTCCCTCTTGCAGTACCTTCTGTTATGTTTGCCAAGTGTATATACCATCTCTGTCTATCTCTCTAGTTATTAGTGTTCATCTTTGTATTATCTTTAAAGTTCTACTTCAGCTTTATCCTGGACATCAGTATCCATAAAATCATGATGTGCTAGTAATACACATTATATATCTATTAACATTAAAGTGTCACAGAAATTTCTCTGATCTTACCTGATTTACTTTCAAGCTCCAAAGTGCTAAAATACCTAAATAACTGATATTGTATTTCAATATGTTCTTATTATATTTTAATGTAGAAAACCCAAAGCTCAGAAGAATAACATTACCAAGTGTCACAGCAGTAAGAAGCACTGCTAGAGCATAGATCTGAGCATGCTGATTCCACAGCTCATGTTACAAACCATGTTGCTTACTGACATGAACTGATGATCAGCAGAGTGTGTTCTACCATGTCAGAATTTAAAGGACCTACTTTAACATGAGCATATACTTATCAATTTGTATTATTGTGTACCAGGGTGGGTGATTTTTGTTAGGGAAAACTTCTAAGGGAACAAAAGTGTTATATTATTTTAAGGCTTTATATTGAAAAGTATTGAGCTGATGGTCTTAACCCCTCACTATTGAATAAAAGCAATTTTTTTAGCAACTACCAATTGACTAGGGAAAATAGTTTATGCACTTCCTCTAAACAACATGGTTTAGGAAGCCAAGCCAGTGACAATCTTGCACCCAAATTGGAAATGGCCAAGGGCTTTTCAAGCCATAGAATTTGCAAGTTAAAAGGAGGGTTAGATAGCAATAAGTGTTTGTCTGATTCCTTCATTTTTTCAAGTTGAAACAATAGTGTAGTCAATCCTCCACAGCCTTCACCTATATTCACAAAAGGTTAACATCCACTGCATTTAACTCTCACTGTGTGTGTATTGTTCTGGCTGAAACATTTAAAAATAAGCTTCAGATATTTATATCACCTCACTCTTAAATATTTCAGCATGAACTCACTAAGAACAAAGATATCTCCCTACATGGGTGTAATATATTATCATATCCAAGAATGTGATATTGATATGCTAATGTTAACTAAGATATAGCTCATATTCAGTATTTCCTATCTATCCCCATATTGTGCCTTATAACTGTTGTCTTCTTTATTCTGTGATCTAAGATCACTTGTTGCATTCTTTTTTTTTTTAAGAATATTGCCTCTACTTCTCTTGCCTTTCATGCACCAGCATTTCTCAAGATTCTAAATCAGTTTTCATGATTAACTTCAAAATAATCTGCCCTTTTTTAGGGAAGGAGGCACATTTCTTCCATGTGGTTATATAGAATCACTTGGAAAAAAGTCAGAAAACAGAGCATAGAAAAGAGAGCAAACATCCTTAAACTCCAATTATTGAATAAGAAGGTTTTTTTTCTTTAGCAACTAAATGAATAATCAATTGGCCAAGTAGAAAGAAATAGCTTGTTTTGTGGTAACTATATCCAGTATCCCCAAAAACTCAATAATGTGAACAAATTCCCCTGTAATTTTTTTCAAAGCCAGATTTAAAATGAACCTGATGCTGATTTACCTTATCTCCTGCCATTCTATGGATTGGGAGTCCTCTTAATTCCAAGTTCTGTACTGAGTGTGGAATATGTGGCTGACAGTCCCTGCCTTTATGTCCACAGCTCTGCCTGGTTATACATTGTAGGAGGAGGAGCAAGTTGAGGGGAGGAGTAGGGCTCAAACTAAGAGTCCACGTCTAATCTTAATGACAGAGGTTGAATTTTGATGAGAATCAAACCAATAAATCCTTTGCCTCGGCGCCTTGTGGCTCCAGTACCTTTTTTTCCTCCAGAAGAGAAAATGGGAGCAGGTCCCCTAGGCGTAAGTTACAAATCAGAGGTTGTCACATTTTAAGGCATGTGTTAAGTGTAGCAGCAGCTGGGGACAGGTGAAAAGAGAACTCCAGAAGTTCTTTTGTAGCAGATATGCTGGACTTTTGAGATATGCTGGGCTACCAGGTAGTGTGGGATGACACAGGCAGGCATTGGAAGCGCCGCGCACTCTGCTCTGCTGATAGCATGTACTGTGTGGTATGTGTGCGTTAGAGCTGGGTGATGTGGCCAGGGGCTGCTGTGGACTAGACTGGTTACCTAAATGAGCTCTGCAGAATTAAGGGCTTGGGTTTAACTCTCAACATTTACTGGCTTGCTGTGATTTTCCTGTTGTTATTTTTAATCTGATAAAGAGGAACTAACAGAGTATACACTTTGTTTTGTTGGGAGGATTAAATGAAAAAAACAAGACAGAATTTGGCATAGCCTAAGTGCTCAGTAAATGGTGGTTGTTAATGTTTTTTATTTCCTCATTGAATTTATTGGTACATTTTAGGTATACAGTACAGTTACATTCATTATTGGGATCTTGTACCTTTACATGACAGGTCTTGGTTCTCATTTTTCCCCTTGTCCCTGCCCTCCCTTCACTCCCTCCTCCCCTCCCCATTTATAAACATTTTATTTCCATTTTTTCATTTTCTCCTATTTGTTTCCTTTCCCTCATTACCTTTCCCCTACCCTCCCCACTATTGTTATTACTATTACTGATTCAGTGTATATCAAGAGGAACTTGCTGGAGGTGATAATGTAATTTTCACAAATTGTCTTCAGCTGGTGCCCTTCTGGGTATCTTCGCTGATGTACAATCTCTTTGGGGGTGCAGGAGATATCCAAATTGATTGAGCTTTAACTGTACCTGGCAACTAGGATCACTGCTTCCCTTGAGACTCCCATGAAACAAGATTGCCACAGATGAACTATAAGAGACAGCAGCAAAAGAAGGGGCATGAGGAAAAAATGAGAAAGTGAAGAGGTAGAGGAAACTCAGATTTCATTTGTCTTCTATTTTTCTCACGCTTTTTCATTTCTACCACTTCTGCAAGGTGACACACCTAAAAATATTTGCTTTTAAATGTTTAATTCAGTTCAAACCCCAAATAATAATGGAGCCCAGCACAGTTCCCTGCTCTGAGATGCATGACAAATATGACACAGCTGCCTCCCGCTAGGAGTTTATAATGTGTAAATTGAGATATGTGCAGAGACCAATGTGCAACACAATAATTTCTTAGTGGAGAGGCATGGACAAATGTTAATAGTGGTAGTTAATCTTTATTGAGTCCTTGCTTGGTGCCAAGTGCCTCTCTCAGCACTTGCTATGGATTAACTTGTTTAGTCATAACAGAAGAGTTCTGGATCACAGCGTTGGGGAACAGCTTTGAAACAACTTTACTTTCTGTCCTAGTTTTGGCAGTGTTTGCATACACCTACTCAGCAGGGCCTTCTATAAGCAGGTGAGGTTCCTCGGCAGTCATTTTCCAGGGACCTGGAAATCTGTAGGAAAGAAGCTTGTGCCATGTCAGGAATGATAGTTATCCTCTGCTGTTTACCAGCCTTTGACTTTTGAACTCTCTGGGACTGGTGAGAGTACTAAGTCCTGCCAGTATCTAGTAGCTGCCAGAACTATTCTCTCTCCTTCAAAGTGTGACCTGTATCTCATCTTGAGCCATCATGATCAGCTTCCTCTGGTTTAGCCCTGACCTCTCTGTTCTGCTCTTGCTCAGAAATTAGTAAAGATTACAACTTTTGGGATGAGCTAAAACTGTCTCCAGGATGGGGGCTGAAGGATTCAACTACACTGATTGCACTTGTTGACTTAGCCCTAGAACAACTGATATGTGATTCTAGCCTCTCAGGAAAGTTTACTTCAGTGACTTCCTGGCTGTAGGATAAAGGCAGGCTTTCGGCACTTTGCTGAGGGGGTAGGGTCCGCTCAGTGAGTGCCTGCTATTCACCTCTGTGCGATTGTTTTTTTTTTTTTTTTTTGACTCACATTTTTAAACTTTTCAGGTCGCATTCTAATCACTTTTTTGATTAATTGAATCTTAATAGGTGCAAAGAGATCTGAAGGTTGCAAAGCAGGATTCACCATTCTGCCCGCCCCCATGTCCTTCCTTTCAGGAAGATGAGAGTCTGTAGAAGGAATGAAAGAAAACCAGCTATCTGAGCATGCTGCATTCTTCTCTGATTGGGTCAGGTGTCAATAAGTGCAAAGATATCTCCTGGAAACTAATAAAATGATTTCAAACTTGGCCAAGTCAGGGATGCAACAGAGTATCTGAAGATTCCAGTCCCTGAAAGCAGTGCTTTTTAAAATTTCTTAGTCAAATTTTGCACTGTAGTCTATCGAAGAGGGAGGGAAAAGGCTGGTCCATGCTGTCAGCAACTCTCTTGTATGTATTTGCATAGCCTCCTACCTGGCCTCCTCACTCAAGTCAAGGTTGGTTTCAAAAGTTGAATCAGATGATAATACTCCCCCTTACTCAAAAGCCTCTGGAGACCTCATAGTTACCCTTGGAAGGAAACCCAAATTCTTCACCATAGCTAAGAGGGGAACCTGATGTAAGCTGGATCGAAGACTGACTATCATCCTCTGGGCCCAACACACGGGCCTCAATCTATCTAACATCCTCCCGTCTCAACATCTGTGTACTGGAGTTTCTATTCAAAGTGCCTCTCCCTAGGTTTGAATGTCACTAGCTCCTTTTCTTCGCTGATATGAAGGCTTTGAAAGAGCTCCCTCACTGGACTGCTTAAAGTAATACTAGCTATGCCTCCTACTCATGTTTGGCCTGTTACTCTGCTTTATTTTCTTTGTAGTATTTATGCTTTAAGTTTTATTTCCTGTCTATTTTTTTTGACACTTTCCCTACCAAATCTAAGTTCTATGAATGTAGAGACTCCTGTATTCTTATCCTTAGTACCTATAATAGTGCCTGGTGTAGTAAATACAGGCTTTCTTGTAGTGGGAGGAGTATCTGAGGCTATTACTGGGTCATTTATTGATTTAACATTCAGTAAAGCAGCATTCACAGAGCATTTTTCTAGTTATGACTGTGAATGACACAGACCAGAACTCTGCTCCTAATGGATTACATTCTATGAAAGATAAAAGGGTGCAGAAGAAGAGACTAACGGAGGCACTCTTGGAAGAAAAGGTACTAAAGTAAACATTCTTGATAGAGGTGCCATTTTGACTGAAGACAAGAATGGGCGGCAGGATGGAGGTGGGAGTTTGAGTAAATTTTGAGGAAGGAAAGATATATTTTCATGGGTAAAGGTGGGATTTGCAGATAATTGCTTTGAAGAGAGGAGAGGAGAGACTTCAGGATGACACCATTTAATATCACATGTGGTAAACTGTTTAATCATCTGAGCAGTAATCCAAGTTTATCTCCCACATCTCATGGAATGCTACAGTAAAATAATCAATTTTGTTCTATATTTCATACTTTATAATTTTATTTTATTAGTACATATTTACAGTTCATCAAGTTTGGGAGTAGGTTTATATATACATAAAATAGCTTATTTCTTTTTTAAATCTCCCTCCCCTTCCCACCTACTTCCCTTCTTCAAAATCCTCTCTGAATCCCCTTTCCTCATTTTTATTCTTATTTTTATTATTAGTCTTAGCTCATGTTTGTGACATATAATGTTTAGATTCATTGAAGTTATTAGTTTTTGTACATGTCATTATCTTGATTTTTCTATTTCCTCTTCCCTTTCCCCTCGCTCCTTGCCCTTGGTCTCTTAGACCCTTCCCATTTACAAGAGATCCATGCCTTCTTTCCTGCTAACCACCCTTTTTTACTTTCTTTGCTTTTTGTACTTTGCCTTACTCAAATGAGAGATACATATGGTTTTGAAGCTTGTGTGTCTGATTTATTTTAGTTAACATTGAATTTTCCAGGCCTATCCATTTTTCTACAAATGTCTCAAATTTATCCTTCTTTATAGCTGAGCAGTATTACGTTATGCATAGATACGACATTTTTTTTACCCATTTGTCAGTCGGTGGGCATACAGGCTGATTCAGGGATTTCACTGTTATGAATTGTACTGCTGTACAAATTGGTATGTTTGTATCACCATAGAATGATGCCTTTAGCTCTTTGGGGAAGATATCTAGAAGAGGTATGGCTGGATCATATGGAAATTCTAATTTTAGTTCTTTGAGATATCTCCATATTGATTTCCATAATGGTTGTACTAGTTTACATTTCCACCAGCAAAGTAGGAGGGTTTCGTGACAGCCACACCAGTGTGTTATTGTTTCACTTTTTGACAACTGTCACTCTTTCTGGTGTAAGATGAAATCTTAGCATGCATTTAATTTTCATTTCTGTAATGACCAGAGATGTTGAACATTTATTTCATATATTTGTTGGTCATTAGTATTTCTGAGAAGTACCTGTTCACATCACTTGTCCATTTCTTGATTAGATCTTACATTTTAGGAGTCTATATTTTTAGGGAGGATTCTTAATATGTTTTGGAAATTAGTCTTCTGCCTGGGAAATAGGTAGAAAATTTTCCCATTCTATAAGTTGTCTCTTCATTCTACTAATTGGTTCCTTTGCTGTGAAGAAGCGTTTTAATTTCATGTAATCCCATTTGTTGATTCTTGCTGTTATTTCCTGCTGCTGTTTATTCAGATTCTATTTAGAAAGTCCTTTAACTACTCCTATAACTTCAAGTGTTTTACCTTATTTTATATTCCTGTAGGTTCAATAGTTCTTTAATGTTTAGATGTTTGATCCATTTTTA